TGTGTGTGTGTGTGTGTCTACATGTGTGTCTGGGTGTGTGTCTGTGTGTGTTTGGACTGGGGATAAAGGAAACATGAACACGCTTCCTTCACTTAGGCCAAGCTGTGGCTTGAAGGAGGTCAGAACTGCTCTAGCAACTAGAAACGCCTTTTCAATCTCGCACACTCTGTTCCGCATCCCCCAAATTCCTAGTGTAACGTCACAACAAAGTTCACTGGCTGTCCCCATCCCCTCTTTCCCTCCACCTATGTAACCTCCCCCCTCATTTGCAAGAAAGAAAATAGCAACATGCAACTGACACTGGGAGGTTTTGTGAGGCCCGGGCTTGCATGCTGGTGTTATTCTTTTTTAAAAATACAGCTTTATGGAGGTATAATTTACATACCATAAAAGTCACCCATTGTTAAGTATACGACTCAATGACTTTTCGTACAGTTATACAGCTGTGCATCCAGCTTCAGAACACCTCCATCACTCTGCAGTGGGATTTTAAAAATCCACTGTCCCTCCAGCAGTCTCTGCACCCAGCAACCTCCACTCTAGTTCCAGAGTAAGTCCAACACAACCCCTCATGGTCCCACCAGCCAGGCCACCGCCACCAAGTACAGGCTTCACAGACCCAGACAGCAGCCAGCCCAGGCTCCTCTCCCTGTGCAGCACCCCCAGCCCCCTCCCCGTGCTACTGCTAATCCCCCAGGGAGCTCAGCCCGGAGGGGCTGGGGCAGAGACTAAATGCAAACTCTCTACCCACCTTCCCCACTGCTTTTGCCTAGATCCCACCCAAAGCCTCCCTGTCTTGAGAATAAGACACACATCCTTTTTTTTTTTTTTTTTTTTAAGTTACAGATGAAGTGTGAAGCTGCCCAGGTTTCAGGAGGCCCATGCTGGGAGAGGGAGGTGGATACGCCGAGGACAGCCCACGGAAGATGCTCCTGCTTTTCCAAGGGCCATTTGGGAGACACTTTGGCTTGTGTTTATTCTGACACAGTAAAGATTTCTTGCCTGTTAAGAGACAAGGTCACGCCTCAGAAGGCCTCGTGGACTGCAGGGAGTGCTCTGCCTGCCGACTCTGGCCATGTCCTCCCTCGGAGCTCCCGGGCCAGCTCTGGAACCTGTCCCCGACGCACGGCCCAAGCTGAGCCCTAAGACGCTGCAGCCTGGCTCGCACCGCACCACGTTACCCAATATGGAGCTGGGCCTAACTGTCCCAATTGGGGGACACGGTGGAGAAGTTTAAAATGCGCCTCAGATTCAGTTGCTGAGGTGGCTAAAGAAAATGTCGAAGGTTAAAAAGCAAAAGAATGACAGCCGTGATGCCATCAGCAGCCAGCAATAAGGGAAAGGAGAATTTGCTAACCTTCCTGATTCTTTTGGGAACCATCTCATCAGACAGTCCAATCTCGCTAATTAGAGGAAGGTGCTGACGACGGGGAAAGAGGCGTTTGGTGGGAATCACATGAAAAGTTATGGTGTCTCTGCGGGGGAGGGGGAGAGAGACAGGATTTTCCTATGGCCCATGGCAGAGGCACCCGGGACTGCCCTGATTTTGCCAACTGCATTCCAGAGCTCTTTTCCTCCCATGCCCAGACAGAGCAACGGCCTCTGTAATGACTTCACGCTCGGCCAAAAGTAAACACACTCCGCACTTTTTCCATGGACAAATTCTAACCCCGAATTGCCAGCACTGGCTTCCCAACAACCCAGATGGAAAGCCGCCTTTCCCAAGAAAAGAAAACCTTTTCAACTAAATGATGCATCTTGGCTGCAAAAGGAAACTTTCCTAAAAGCTTCCTAGAAATTGTTTCTCATGCAGTGATACTATAGATCACCTGAGCAAACCTTACCAGTGGGACACAGTCACTTAAAGTAAATACAAAAATCATCCAAGAATAAAAGCTTGCTCCTGCAAACACCTGCACTTGCAACTTAAGCAGCACATTTTATAGCTCTCAAAATACACACACACACACACACACACACACACACACAGCTCACCACCACCTAACTGGAATATTCTTTCTGAAAACAGGCTGTGATAAGACAGGTGCTGACTTGAATAAAGAGCAGCAGCACTTGAGATCTGAGCTCGGCAGCACCTCTGTGCGTGTCAAACGCACATCTCATTTCTCCCCACATTCCACCTTGAATCCATGTGATCCAAGCTCAGTCCTCCACCGAGGGAGAGAAGCAGAGAGAGACGGGATGGTGGACTTACCAGGTTGGAATTGGTGGCGTTGGAGTCATCTTCTGGAAAGGGAATATAGATCGCTAAGGCCACACAATTGGCAAAAATAGTCAGTAAAATAATTATTTCAAATGGTCTGAGGACGGGAGTTAAGGAAGTCAATGCCACAGAAAGCACAAGTGAAACAAACATACATATATATATTTTTTAAATGAATCAAAGATTCATAAGAATTTTGTTTAAACAATACATTCCAAGCCCCTTGTGTTCTGAAAAGAAACATATGCCTTTTTAAGTGCTTCTAATGGGTCCCCGCCAAAATTTTTCCTAATATGTCAAAAGCAGTGGAGGCCAGTCGCGTGCCAGAGTAAACACAGATTTCTAAAAACTTTTTTCTTCTTCTTTTATTTATTTAGATTGCATTGGACTTCATTTTCCCCCATGTGTGCTTGGGGTTGCCTCTACAAAGCAGGGCCTGCTCAAGTCAGGACAGGCCGTCCCCCAGAAACTCTTTCTCTCGTGGTTTCCACGCTGCCCCCCGGGGGACTTGAGCTGGGGGCGGGAGAGGTGAGACCGATTTAAGGCAGACTTGACGTCAAGATTTTTCATTGAAATTTGGAGATTTACTTTTGATCTTTTAATCTGAAGTTTAGAGTGGTTATTGTTTTTTTCTTCTACTTTATTTCCTGACACCTTCCACAGAACCTGACGATGGCTGGGGGCTCTGGACCCTCAAAAGCATGGCAGCCCGTGTACTGTGCCTTCAGGGCAGGGCAACCATCTTTCCTCCAAGGCACAGCTCCATGTGGAATACCTTAATCCTCTTCAGTCTGCGGAGGCCCTGCCTTCAGTGGGCAAGGCTTCCATTCTAGGGCCTCCTGACTTGGGCTTGTGTGTACTGGGATCTAGAGGGATAAGCCAGCTTCACTCACCAGCAGCAGTGCACTCAGTGAGGCTCTTGTGCCCAGATTTCTTTATCAAAATATCAGGCAGAACACATTCTCCAGAGAAAAAGGAGTTAATATGATAATGGTCCTTCTACTCTGCACCTACAACTAAAGGCCAGAAAGGAGAAGCTTCAGAGGAAGGCCAGTTTATGTTCTTTGGGCCCCAGCTTCCCCTGGTTCCCCAACACTGCCAAGTTTTCATCCTCATCCGAGGAGCCTGACAAGATGAGGAAGGGAAAGAGGATGGAAATCCCTGGAAGAAGGGACCAACTTCCTCTCCCAGGGAAACCTGTACTCACCAAGTTAATGAATTGAAGCAGGAAGAGAGACCTTAGAGATCATCTCGTCCAAACCTCTGAGGCCCAGAGAGCCTGAGAAACTTTCCGAAGAGCCCATGGCAGGTACTTCCCATCAAGACTAGAACCCAGATTCCCTGAGCGCAGAGTCCAGTGTTCATCCCGCTGCCATGAATGGCCTCTGACCTGTGTTAAGGACCTAGAAGACATCTTAGTCATGGCTTTAGCTGGTGTGCTAGTCATGGATCCCCCTCGGTCCCACAGGCATAGACGAGGGTCCATTTACCAGCACACCTCATGAGTGTGTGTGCCTTGATATCAAGACGATGACATGCAGTCTAACCCCCAACTTGACAGATACAGAAAACAAAACCACCTCTCCCAGGTTCCAAGCTGACAAGTAGCAGGGCCAGCCCCAGACCTGGACCTACTGACTCATCTGCTCCGATATGCTGTGGTGCCCCCTGAGTTGGCCAAGGAACCAGGGATGGCACTGGCGGTGTTGATGACAGGGACGGCAGCAGGCAGGACAGTGGCTGACACCATGCGCTTACTCTGTGCCGGGCTCTGCTCTAACTTTTCTGCACAAACACCCGAATGAGTGCACAGTTATTGTCCCCATTTCTAACTGAGGAGGCAGAGAGGTGAACTGTTAACTTGCCCAACGTCACACAGCTTGTGGTAGGATGGGATTCAAACTCAGGAAGTCTGGTTCCAAAGTCGGAGTTTGTAAGGACTACTTACTCTACGCTGATCCCTACGCTGACCTATCCTGAAGTTACCCTAAAGCGTTTTTAGAAAGTTCATACTTTAGACCTCCTACCACAAAACCCCTTCCCTCCTAGCCCTTTCCCACCTGCTTAGGAAAGTCCCATTCAGCCCAGGGGCTGGTCGGTTTCATTCCCGTCGTCTGATCCCTTGTGCCGCGCCCCCCCCACCCCCACCAGGGCTACAGCACTTCAGTTAACCGAGTCAGACCTCAGGCACCTGTCCTCAAACATCAACTCGTTCCTTCCACCAAAGTGGGTGGCGGCTAAGCTTGGGGTGTTTCTTACACTATCACTTCTACATCCTCCCCCAATCCAGGCTATCCATCCATCATCTTATGCTAAAAGTCCCTGGCTACTGTGGAGACGATAATGTATAAAGAAACCGATCAGGCAGGTAAGAAAAACCACGAGTGGAAGGTGGAGGAGACGCCAGGTAAGACCTGGAAACGTACTGTGTCACCCTGTGACAGCCAGATCATTTTTTAAACTGTCTCTCCTTCTTAATGACAGCATCAGATTCCACTCTTTCAAGGAACACTGACGAGCGAGTACACCAGACCATCTCCTGACCTGTCCAACTACCCTTCCAAGGCAGTCTGACTAGCAGTGCGGAGGCCGGGCCTGCTTCCTTTCCTGCGTGGGGGAGGACCCGTTCCGCCAGGTGGGCTGGCTGCAGACCCCTCTGCCCAACCAGGGAAGCGGCTGAGCTCCACAGGTGGCCCTGGGTCACGGCCTGGCTAACACTGCTGCTGACTTGGTCAACTGTCTTTTCACGAGTCCCTGCCTCGGGCCTCCTGTGGCTCTGTGACCAGTTTCCATGGGCAGCACACCAGACGGTGCCATTACAAAGCCCCGCTCTTCCACACTCCCCCTCCTGCCCTGTGTGCTGCTATCTCACCTCTTCCCTTCCTCCCAGGCTAGTACGTCACCTGGCACTTCATTCTGCCCGCAGTGCTGCCTGTCAGGGAGCTGTCCATCCCGGGGAGGGAAGACAGACTTGATGAAGTCAACTCGTCCTCACCAAACACGTCCCCTGACGTGTTTTTCTGAGCATGCTTCCACAGGCATAGACTCCGCAGCCCTAGCTAATACTTTGGTTACTGCCCACTCAAGATGAGGAAACAGAAGCTCTGGTGATTCTGATGACTTGTGACCACTCAGAACACAGGTGGCAGCACCATGATGGGGCGTGGTAGTTCAGGCCCCAGATCCAGGTCCCTGCGTGTCCCAGTGGGCTGGCTGGCGTCCCCTGAATGCCTACCCTAGTATGTCTCCTCTACACTATGGGTGCACAGGGAGCGGGACGCACATGGACTGGGGACTTGGGGAACCTGGATTTGAAACCCAGCTCTATCAGCTACAGGCTGTGTGATCTGGGTAAGATCTTCAGCTTCTCCAGGCCTCAGTGCCCTCCCCTTTGGGGGAGCCTGACCCACATGGCCCCCAGCTCTCCCACTGCATGGTTCTGTTGGAGCTGTTATGACAGCAGCATGCTGGGGCTGCCCAGAGCCGAGCCTCTCACCCAGTTCTCCAGGAACGGGAAGCACGCTTGGCCACTCAGGACAGACAGCCAGCTCTCCAGCCGCCACTCAGCTTACGCTGCCTTCTCTTAAAGTTACTTTTTGAGTTGAGGGGCCCAAACATTTATAGAACTGACATGTCTTGCTAAACAGAAGCTCTTCCCTCCCAAGCCATCTTCTTTTGCCTTTCAACCACTACCTACTAAGGCTTCTCAATCTTTCCGTGGAAACTCATGAATGACATGGAACCCTCCTATCCTGAGCCCCAGGAGACATGGTAGGAGACGTGGTAGCTCTGCCTGAATGAATTCTTATTATGAAAATGCCCAACACTAAGTACCAGAGTTCACCTGTCTGTCACTAATATATGACCACGTGGGGCTCAATGTCATCACTGGGCAAAGTCAGGGGTGGGCCTACTCATCTTGAAGCTCCTTTCGATCTCCACCACCCCACAATTCCCATGACGTTAAGGGGCCTGTAATTCCACAGAGAGAGCCTGGCCCTCCAAAGCCATTTTCTCTGAAGGGCCCACTCACTGGGCTCTATGCATACAATGTGGGTCTGTGTTTAAAACTCCCAGCCAGCGTTCTCCACTTTGGCTGCACACGAGAATCACCTGGAGAACTTTCACGTATGCCTGCGTGGGGCTCAGGCACCTGTATTTTGTTACAACTTTCCAGGCGATGCCAATGTGCAGCCAAGTTTGGGAACCATGAGCCAGGGTGGGTCACTGACCACTACCCTCTCGCACATCTCGGGCTTCCTCCTCCTAGAGAGAGTGGAGGTCATGAAACTACACCAGTGCCATGACACAGGAGGCAAAGAAGGCTATGGGGTATGTAACCACTGTTCACCCAACACACTAGCGGATCCCTGGACAGGCTCGGCTAGGTGAGATGATACAACCTCTCAGGATCGCTTTCTCAAATGCTGCTCATGGTATGAAAAAGATATATGAAGAAAAAGACCCTGCTTGTTACTCCAGCAGATTCCTGGGCCCTATCCCCAGACATTCTGAGTCACTGAGTCTCGGGTAGCGCCTAAAACTCTGCATTTACATAGCACCCCAGTGATGAAGATGTAGTGGGTCTGGGAGCGAGCCTGGGGCCAGCCCCACCCGGGGTCCCGGGGGGCACCCCGCCCAAGCCAGAGCGCAAAGGATATTTCCATTCGACGATGCTGATGCACGCCCTCCGGATGGGGTTCTTCAGAGTCAGGCAGAGCAGGGCACGGGGCGGGCGCGTGGCTGTCGTGCTGCCCTGCTTCTTGGGTTTCCCGTACTGCTGCCGCTTCCGCTGTGTGGAGCTGACGGTGGAGATGGTCGCGTTGCCGGCGCTCCCCATCAGCTTGGCCTGCCGGGCCGCGTCGATGGCCGCCTGCCAGGACAAGGCCGCCCCCGGTGTAGGGATGTGCTCAGGGGCGAGTCCTGCAGCGGCATTGGCATTCATGTTGGCATGAGCGGGGCGCGGGCTCCCATAGTTGGAACCTGCAGGAGGAGAGGACAGAGGACGGCAGTTACTAGGGAGAAAGCAAGAGAGCTAGGAAAAGGAACCCAGACTCGCAATTTTTTTTTTTAAATCTCATTTCAAACTATTGCAGCAAGAGCCTGGGAGGTGGCGCATGAGAACATGGGTGTGTGCTGCTGAGCAAAAAGAGTCAGGGAAACTGTTCTTGTCCCAGTTCGGCTGTGTGACCCTGGACATGTCGCTCCTACTCTCCAATCTCACCGACTCATCTTAGGCAACCAGACATGAGATGTGTGCATTACAGCATACATGCATGGCACATGTATGGACCTGGAAACACGGAGCAAGTGAGAAAAGGAGGACACAGAAAACCGTACATATGCAACGTCATATACGTCTCTTACATTTGTAAGAACACATACAAATAAAGGACATGCATAAAATATAATAGAATGGTTGTTTAAGGAAAGTGAAGAGGGAAAAAGGAACGTAGGATATGGGGATAAAAAGGAAGAGTGAATGAATGAATAAATGAATGGAGAGAGAATCATTGCATGAATCAATGATGACAAATGCACAATGAATCGAAGAGTGTAATTCACTCAAGTCTCTGTACCCAAGTTCCAAAAACCAAAAATAGTATAATGAAAGGAAGGCATTGGACCAAAGCTAGGTCACATCCAGGTACCTCAAACCCATCTGAGCAATGAGTGTTGATTGGATAGGAGGGGGTCGGGGGCTGTGATGGTTTTACGTTATGTCAGCAAATCCTTTGACATCCCTCCCATTAAGAAAGAGGATCTATGTCCCTTCCTCCTGAAATGGGGTTGGTCTTTGGTGACCATTTTGACCAAAAAGTACATAAGAAATGACAGTATGTGCATGCCCTGAGGCTGCCATGGGGTGAGGAAGCCCATACTAGCCAACACGGAGAGCCCATGAGCAGGGAGAGACTGCAAGACAGCCCCCAGCTGCTCCACCCACCATCTGACTGCACCCTCATGTGAAAGCCCAAGCAATTCCTGACCCCTAGAAACTGTGGGAGGCAGCCAGGTGCTTGCTACTATAAACCACTTTGTTTTGGGGTGATTCATTACATAGCATTTGATATCCAGGAAAGGGAGCTGTGTATGGCAGGGATTGACAGGGTGGGGTAGAGGGACACAGGGAGGAAACCTGTGCAGGAACCAGTGAAATCCAGAGTAGAGGCATCCACATTTCTCTGTATAAAGGCAAATGAAGCCTTCAAGACTGCCCCTAAGACACTATGCATACTTGGTGGGCACTCCTCCATCTGATCAGCTGGATGCCTGACCCTAGAATCCTACAAGGTTTACCCAGGATCAGCTCAGCCTGGGCTCAGACCTGAATGCCCCAGAACAGATGCATGGCCTTGAGACTTGTCACCTGGTTGGGTGCCATGGGATCAAGGGAAGCAGCAGAGAATGGGGTGATAGTGTGGGCAGTGAGCCTGGCATCTGATGCCAAATCAGTTGCCCAGAGAACCGTGGCTGGAACAGCCAGACCGGTTGCACATATGTAGCTTCCAAGGGCCCTCCCCTCTTCTCAGTGTACACACAGCTCTCCCAGGGAAGCTGCTGGGCCCAGAACAAACTGCCCCTTCCCTCTCCTCGCTGCAACTCACTAGTATTCAGATGAACACTTGGCACCTCTCCCAGCCACCCCTCCCTACTCTTATCTTGGATTGATCCTTCTATGTTTGACCTTCAAGATGACTTTTGCTCCCAGTGTGACTTGCTATCTAGACCCTATCGCCTCCACCACCAGCCCTGTTGCCGCCCCCCTCCCCCAGGGGATAAGCAATGACCTGGCTTAGCCTGACAGAACGCAGAGACACTCTGTCCTAGAGATGGACCTTAACAACCTCATCAGGCTCCTGATCTAGCCAGACCCTGAGCTTTCTGGTTATATTACTTAAGTAACTTAGCTTTGGCTAACTCAAATTGGGTTTCTGTCCTTTGCAACCAGAAAAGACCTGACGAATATGCTTGTTCAATGCTACAAAGCTTGTACCTGTCTGGGCTGTCATTTCTGCTGAATTCCAAAATCTATGTCCTTTCTGTCATCACACCCATGACAGACAATAAATAAGTTTCTACTCTTCCACCAATTGATTGACACGACTGCCCAAAATGCTGGACCCAAAGGATTCTGAGACTTCTCCGCGTTTAAGAGGAAAGTATGTCATGACAGATTAGTGACGTCTGCCACGGATACAAACAGTAGGGAAGGGTATCACAGATGCCACGAATTCACCAGCCCTATGTGATACCAAGATGAGCACATCAGGTCTTCTTTAGTACCGGGCTGGCCCACTGCCTTCCTGTCCCCTGACAGTTGTCTCCTGCACTATTACCATCTGGTCCCTGTAGCATTAAGGCCCTGCGCCCACTCCCCAGGGCCTGGAAAATTGCCTCTGTGCTATACTCAATTCATGGCTATATTCTCAACGTGACACGGCTCCTGTATCACCATCTACTCCATTCACCCCCCTCCTTTCCTCTGCTCCAGCTGGTCCAGGCAGCTGCCGCACCCCTGGGGTAAAGTGTTTTACCCAGAATGTCAGGATCATGGAGAACCCAACACTTCCTATGAGAAGTCCTCTCTCTCACATACCTTGCCATTGTCCTCCCTACACTCACTGTGTGGATCCTAAGCATAAAGCTAGGAAGACCCCGATATGACCGGGGCCTTCGCTTTTCTTATGATACCCCAGAGGAAGGAATTAGAAGGCAGTATCTGAATTAATAAAGGCACCCGAAGCATCAGAACTGCTTCAGTAACCAGCAAGCATTCGTATCTCCATTTAACACATAAGAAAACAAAGGAGTGTATGACTCATTAAAGGTCACAAAGTGAGACAATGAAAGATTTCTGCGGCACGCACAGGACTCGCGGTTCACTGCTAAACTATACTCCGCCTCCTCAGAACTCACCCTGCGCCCCACCTGCATACACACGTGTGTGCTCACGTCCACGGCCACAAGCAAAGCATACGTCTCCTACTGGGTTTACAGGCCTTGAGGTTGAAGGGGCTGCTGCATTTCTGACCTAAGAACATCCTTTACGTTTGCCATAATCTTCACAGGAAGGAGTCCACTGTGTGAACAGCCTCTCCAGTAACCCTCAGGGCAGCCCTGGGATGAATGAAAGTGGAAGGTGTCCCCGTTTCTACGGGCTGCGTTGGAGTGACCAGTAACCAGTGGCCTAATCTCATGTCTTACTGGGTTTGCTGGGAGCACTGGAACTCTCATTTTGTCCATTCAATCTGTGATCTATAATTTTTCCTTCCTAGACTCCCTCCCTGCTCAGCACGGACAACACTTAATCAACTCTATTTTAGTTCCTAGACTAACTTCTCTTCCCACACATAGATAAAAGCAGCCTATGTCTTCAGCACTGTCAGCCCCTCCAGACCCCAAATCTCTTCTCATAACAAGCCTGCAGCACCTCACACCTTCTTGCAGACTACTGTCTTCAAACTCCAATCTTTGTACCCATTCCCGAGCACTGTCTTCATCCTCCTCTCTCCTACCACTTGCCAGTTCCAAAAACCGAGCCATCCGTTTAGACAATGCTTCGGAAGAAGGCAGGAAGCACCGGCATGAGAACACATCCATGGCCTCAGAAAGGCTGCGTGAGGGGTGTGTCCTATGCACCCTGAGGTGGTGACATGGAAAGCAAGGTGACCAGGGCTCCGCAGAGCCAAGATGTGGTTCTGAAAGCCAGGTCCTGGCAGGCTGACTTCTGAGCCACCCTGCACCATGGGTGACCTTCTTTATGTTCCCAGAGCACAAGGCCCTCTCTGGAGCACTCCATCTGGAGAAAGCACATACAAAGAAGCCCGTGGGGAAAAATGGAATGTCAACCTCTCCCTAGCCAGAGAACAAAAAAACAACCTCCATTAATTTGGTCCTGGAAGCTCTGAGCACTGCTACAGCCCTGTGACCTGACTAAGGGCACCGCCATGGTAAACACAGAGCCACACACGGGCGAGACAGGTGCAGACCCTCCAGGTTAGCCTCCCACTGGGGCTATGCTTCAGGGCCCAGCTTAGCCTCCCCTTTTCCCAGCAATCTCCCCCCATCCCCTGGGATGGCTCCCTACCCAGACCCGAGGCTCTCTTAGTATCTCCAGGTCCCACTCAGGAAGGGGGCACCACTATCCAAGAATCCCAGGAATGGAAAATCACCACCTTCGGCTGAACGCTTTTGAACCCAGAGCAGTGCCGTGGAGGAAGGGCAAGCGGCCTTGTGTCCCTGATGGCTTTTGTTAGCACGAAATAACCACCCAATGCAAAGAGACCAATTTTCAAATTATAAAGCTGATTCAAAGCTCTGTCTCCTGGCTGCCAGCTGAAAAGATGCCACCGTTTAAGCCTGCTCTGGCTCCTGCCTTACTAAACTATTTTTACTGGTGTTCTTGTCCCTGAATGAGCCCCAGAGCAGCGGCTCAGCAGATCAGGCCACATACAAACAGGTGGATGCCCACAGCGGCGACCTCGCCCTCACAAGAAGAAAATGATTCCCATTTGTCAAATGGCCCAGCTCCCCTGACTTCAGAGAGTAGCTCCCTTCTCCCGCACACAGGGGCTGCTGCTTCTCCAAGGGACCAGGATGAGGGCAAGACCCCTGCACAGACTGGTCGGCCACAGGTCATTCTGCTCTGCAAGGTCCTAGGAAAGAGTCCAAGTCCGGAGGCGGTGGCTTATGCTTCCTTGGTATCCCCATGAGTGAGGCGTGGAGCTGGGGACCTGGAAGGTGTTCGGTGATGGAAAAGCGGATTTCATTTCCCCTTTAATCCATCTCCATCCATGCACCTGATTCAGGGCCTTACTGCAGAAGACGTTCACTATCTACTTGCTAACAACAGCAATATGATGATGTCATGATAAAGATGAAGGCGGATAACAGTTAAACACTAGAAACTGATGGAGTCAGCGCATCTATGCCCTAAAGCGTGGGCTTCTTCAGCCTCTACAACTTATTTCTGGGATAGG